AACTGGTCAAATTGAAAAATATCAAAAATTTCATTCTTGGGTCAAATGGTTGTAACAATGTCTACTAACGAGTTACATTGGCATATGTAAATATTCAATTCACACATGAAGTATATCCCACAACGTCTTTGGCGAAGGGTGTTGTCTCCAAATACTTTAATAGAGTCTACACTGTTTTACTTTCTTAATTGCAGTATATAATAGTACTATGTAGATTACATATATTGATATTATTGACAATAACAATGTAAAATGTATTTGTATTGGATTATGCTATTATTTTCTTAAAAACAAAACATTGCATTCATTAATAATAAAATTTTAATACGAATACTAAAAAAATGTATACACTGTCAAGCTTTCATAACTTAAACTTCTATAACTCGGAACTTAATAGAGTGCAACAGATTTTAGAAAGCAAATCACAATAACAAAAAAATTCTTTAACTTGAAGTCTTTATAAATCGAACCTTTTCTTTGCGAAATGGTACTTCGAATTATGGAAGATTGACTGTATGTATGTATAATGTATGATTTAAAATGTAAGTAATATATAAATACATATTTGACAACACATACATATGGATGTATGAAAGTGTGTATATTAGATCGATTAATTTAAAAATATATATTTCCTTTATCTGCACAATAAAGCTATTTGCTGTATACATATATGTATGTATGTTAATGTTACACTTCAGAGACAATATACTCGTATGTGAAATAGTTCGCAATTCTTAAATAATTTAGTTTTAGTATTGTAAAAATACGATAAACCTAATCACAGCACCGGAAAAAATAACAACACAAAACACATAATCCACCCCTCCCTCGTTGGTTCTCAAAGACAAACAATTATTGCTTAAGGCTTTTGCACTTAAACTGTTTTTATATGACAGTTGACAAATTTACTGCATATCTAAGTTGGTACGTAGTACTTACTATGTGCTGAATACATCATATTTTATACACATTATTGATCATAATTCGTAAAAAACATTTCAAATTTTTTTCGTGTTTTACTCTATTTTTAAAATATTTTCCATATAATACATTTAACAATAGTATTCATTATTAGTAAATAATTATTATTAATAAATAATCATTCCATGTACAAATAAGTATATGTTATGTTAAATGCTACAGTAATGTCGTTATTGCTAAAAGTAGGGTACACGTATTATGTTGTTTGTACGATGTGGTGGTTGAAGATAGCATATATAGTGAGACACAAATATAATTCTCATCGACTTGTTAATTGGGTTTGTTTAAAATTCACGTGAAAAGTGTTTGTAGTTACTCTGGCTTCTCTTCAGTTGTCGAATAAATCTTTCGCCTTTTACTAAAGATTTCCGTGGAGAGGAGCAATTTAATGAGTCTAAAATGAATTTTTTGTTGCGCCTAACCGAAAGGTTGGGCCAAAATGAATACATTCACTGAGTAGTAAATAAGTAATTAGTAAGCGCTCTATCTATCACTCGTAAGAGGGGAGTTGTTGCTGTTGAGTCGGTAGTGGGAACAAGATAATATCTTTTCTTAATGAAAACTTCATTGGTGGGAACATAATGGGTGCTTATATGCAGTTTTGCTGTCGTGATATAGGGAGAAATTGTTGAACAAATAATGCTTGGATTTTTGCAGATAGAGGAAATGTATTCGAAATGTAGTGGTGGTTTTTACGCTGTCTCTGCCAATATAGAACATATTGATAAATCAAGAGTTAGATTCGATTTGTACCTGTTCAAGCATACGATATGGAGGTTTCTGTATTTTAATTTCGTTTTATATAGCAGGTTTAATCACATCTTCCTATAATTGTTCTTCTCCTAGTTTTAGATAGGAAATAATGTGCTATTTTATAAAAAAAATATTTAA